AGAGGCATACTCCATTGTCCCTTGAGATGGACAGATGCCACAGCAACAACCGAAGCTCCAGTAATTCCAGCTAGGTATGTGAATATATGGAATTTTTCACAGCAATGATATATCTTCCATACTCTAAGTATTCCCAGCTGCATTAGCTGACCTTTGCAGGGGCGGGGGGAGGGGGGAGAGAAGAAAAAGAAGATGAAACAGTGAAAAAAGACTCCCAAGTTTAATTTCTCTCTGAATTTCTTTCTTTCTTTCTTTCTTTCTTTCTTTCTTTCTTTCTTTCTTTCTTTCTTTCTCTCTCTCTCTCTCTCTCTCTCTCTCTCTCTCTGGTTGGACTGAGCTATATATTATGCTGAAAGACTTCTCTGCTTTGAACAGTTTGCAGTATCAACCCATTATATGTTAAAATATTTTTTCAGACATATGGATGTTCCCTATTGCAAATTGACAAGCCTATTGTGCAAATACTGTGATTTTTTTCCTTTTCCTATGAATCTTACTAGCTCTTCTTACCCAAAAGTATATTTGGAAAAGTTTTATAATTCCTGGTATAGCTATTGTTACACCAGTGTGGATCTAATACGTAGATCCAAACTGCACATTTCTTAAGAACACGGCTGCTTCCATACAGCATCAAGAAAACTGCGATTAACAATACTTTTCCAAGTTCAGATCCTCAGCATGGGGCACAAGAAAACACATTTAGGTAGGCACAGAAGGGACAAAGTACATTTCTGGACTGAGAGATATTTGTGTCACATGTCAGACTTCTAACTAACAATTATGGTATATTTCACATTAATGTGCCTGCCCTTATTTCCACTGAAGTATTTCCTATATTAGGGTGGTGCTGTGGTCTAAACCACTGAGCCTCTTGGGCTTGCCGATTAGAAGGTTTGAATCCCTGCGACGGGGTGAGCTCCTGTTGCTCTGTCCCAGCTCCTGCCAACCTAGTAGTTCAAAAGCATGCCAAAAAGTGCAAGTAGATAAATAGGTACCGCTCCGGTGGGAAGGTAAACGGCGTTTCCATGTGCTGCTCTGGTTTCACCAGAAGCGGCTTAGTCATGCTGGCCACATGACCTGGAAAAACTGTCTGCAGACAAATGCCGGCTCCCTCGGCTGGTAAAGCGAGATGAGTGTCGCAACCCCAGAGTCGACCGCAACTAGACTTAACTGTCAGGGGTCCTTTACCTTTACCTTTTTTATTTCCTATATTGATTTTGATAGCATTAACTTTCAAGTAAGCATGCTTAGGGTTGTGGCCTTATTTTAATTTCCAGTTATGGCTCAGTTATTAAAAAGTGTCCGTCAAGTAACCACATTAAGTTGGGCCTAGATGAGATACTTGTCTGAGACAGTACTCTTCTCCTTAATGCCTCTGGCCCTACTTATGATCTTTGGGGGAGAAAGGCACTATGCACATGGTTAGGAGAACACAGCTTGAGCTTCTAGGGTTTCCAAGGCTCTAGCGCATAGTTGCATGGCCTTGATATCACAATCACTTATCAAGGTGTAAGAGTCTTGGGGGTGGGGAATTAGTGCTATCCAGAGCCTAAGTCAAATTTGTTTTGGATACTTAAGTGAACTTGAGGTGGGAACAATTTTACCAAACCTACAGAATCTAGTGAAAAGCCTGTAATGCTTTAGAATTTAGCACCACCTCTTGATTTACTTGGGACTTGCCGATTGAAAGGTCGGCGGTTCGAATCCCCGCGGCAGGGTGCGCTCCCGCTGCTCGGTCCCAGCGCCTGCCAACCTAGCAGTTCGATAGCACCCCCAGGTGCAAGTAGATAAATAGGGACCGCTTACTGGCGGGAAGGTAAACAGCGATTCCGTGTGCTGCGCTGGCTCGCCAGAGCAGCGATGTCACGCTGGCCACGTGACCCGGAAGTGTCTCCGGACAGCGCTGTCCCCCGGCCTCTTAAGTGAGATGGGCGCACAACCCCAGAGTCTGTCAAGACTGGCCCGTACGGGCAGGGGCACCTTTACCTTTACCTTGATTTCCTTACCTACCCAGTCCTCATTTAATCATGCAGCTACAGACCAGCCACTGTAGCTTTGTACAAACACCCCAAGATTTCAGAGTAGGTCTGTGCCTTTCTGCAACCATTTTCCAAGCAGGTTTGGAATCTGGATCCTACCCCCAAATGCTCAGTCCTGTTCCACAGCTGCAGATGGAAGACTAGCCTGCTGTCAGCTCCAATTGCTTAAGCTTGTGATACCATGGTGCAAGCAAGTCTAGACAGCGTAAAAACCCCCTTGAATGTATGCTACATATTTGAAAATTGTTTCTGACAGCCCAGGAAACAAAGTTGTTGATATGTGTGTTGAACAACATTCCTGTCAAATCAGTTGAATGTTGCTTTGCATCAGGCTTTCTATATTTAGGTACAGGCATTATCCTATGTATTGGAATTGGCTGTCTGAGTCAATAAAGAGATGCTGTGATGATAAGGCACTTTACCAGATGTCATCGATCAAGGATTACAGGCTGAAAGGAGTCCAACAGCATTACAAGGCATTTCCAAGGTTTATTCTACAATCACATTTTCCTTCCCTCTTGAGATTTGCTAAACCCTCCTATTCATGATGTTAAATGTTTAATGTCTCTTTACAAAAAGCAATTTATTTGCACTGGATTTAACAACAGCTAACATAACTGGTGGGGGATCACATTTCTGAATGCTTCCTAGAGATTATATATTAAAATATTGTTTCTGCAAGTAGAAAACAAGCACGGCGGGGAGAGAAGGCTGTTGTTTAAGTCAGGAAAGTGTTCAAAAGTAGTGACCACTGCCAATGAAGTTACTCTCTTCTCTACCATCTCAGGACTCTGTCACTTCATGCTGCTCTGTTTCCAAACACAGACTTCCCTCTGATTGGTCCATGTAGACCATGTGGAAATGAATAATAATCTGTACAGCTTGTCTAGTTGGAGAATCAGCTCCTATATATTCCTGATGAGAATACTGAACTGTTTTCTTTTTACCTGCCATGGGCCTCTTCCCCATCACAGATTTATGCAACCACTCATGCCTGCAATTTCAGTTTTAATTCTGTTGCGTCTTGTTTTTGTCTGTGGCACACAAGTCAGTTGCTTTTAAGAAAACTCTCCTGATAGAACCACCCTTTGCCCACTTTTATTACCTCAACTCGTGCTTAATGTTTTACACAAACAGTCTTCTTCAAGGAATGAGAGAGATCAAACAGAAGAGGCTGAGCAGTTTCCAGACCCCCCCCCACCTCCCCATCTCTTTCTTCCCTTCAGATGGTAGCTCAATACTGCTTTCAAAGTGATTCCAGCTGGCATACAGGTGCAAGATCAGATAAACCAGTTTGCCTTTTCAAAAGACCCCAGGCACTTCTCCTCAACAGAAACTCAGAAGCTTCCATGGTGTGGCTTGCATGCCAAGCATTATTAACCCTGCTGTCTCAGGAATAAAATTGCATCCCTCATCGATTGTATCCTGAACTGAAAACCACTGCATTAGATACGGGAAAGCTAAAAGATTGGATGTTTCTACTTCTTTGAAGTCTCTCAGCCCCACTCACCTCACAGAGTGTTTGTTGTGGGGGAGGAAGGGAAAGAAGAATGTTAGCCACTTTGAGACTCCTTCGGGTAGTGATAAAGCGGGATATCAAATCAAAACTCTTCTTCTTCTTCTTCTTCTTCTTCTTCTTCTTCTTCTTCTTCTTCTTCTTCTTCTTCTTCCTGTGATGCCCAAAGTCTTCCTGGAGGCATCAGTCTTTTCAGTTGTAAGGTGACCTCAACTCACTTTCATTAAGCAGCATACTCAACAGGCAAGCCAGGTAGACCTTCATCTTATACAGTCGTACTTCAGAAGTCAAACACCTTGCGAGTTGAACATTTTGGTTCCCGAATGCCACAAACCCAGAAGTGAATGTTCCTGTTTGCAACTGTTATTTGGAACCTGAACGTCCGTCGTGACTTCCGTGCAGCCAATCGGAAGCTGGGTCTTGGTTTCCAAATGCTTTGGAAGTTGAACGGACTTCTGGAATAGATTCCGTTCAGCTTCTGAGGTACAATTGTATTGGTTGTTAGCATCACATTCTCCCATACTCTTTGGAGAGGCGAGCCATTGCCATAGCTGTCTTGCCAATATGCTTGCCCAGTTCAGCATCAATGGAGCAGTTGCTGGTTATGGTGGAACGCAGGTAGACAAAACTCAACTACCACCTGAAGTGTGTGTTCACCAAAGCTGATGTGTGGAATGCTGGCAACATCATTTTTGGACTAGGAGAAATGCAGGCTAAAATGCTGATGAATTTACAGAAGAACTTTTATTTATTTGTTCACAAACTATGGCAAAGTGAAATTTAGATTGGAAAATACTAAATGAAAAATTGAAATTGAAAGATTCATCCATCCCTAAAGTGAACCCTCTTTTTATTCCCTGCAGGGCACACACCTGCTGCAGAAATACTGTCTTTCCTGAACAATTACTGTGGACTTTGTTTTTATATATCATATTCTGTTTGTGCGAATTTTATGTATGTCAAGAGAAGTCTATTCAACCCCATGTTTTTTTAAATCTAGCTTACCAAAAATGCCTCCAAACTATGTAAGTGAGACTGACAAATCTCCGAAATTGTAAAAGATCCCTTCGGGGGAGGGGGGATCATTATGAATAAGAGCAGCTTACCATCTTCTAATATTGTGATGACTCACATCTCTGACATCCAAGCTCTTGCTATAGAAAACCTATGCGTCATCTTTATCTTAGAATAAAAATTGCCCAGGAACTAAGATGTGTAACTCATAGCTGGAGAACAAAAACATAGAACTTGGTATAAAAAGGTCTGTTTTCTTAGTGGCTTATTGTTTATTTTATTTCCGCAATTTATAAGTAAGCTTAGAGCATCTGGAGAAGCAGGGCCCAACATTAATCTTAACTTGTTGTTTTTAATTTAAGTTGCTTTCTCAGTTTAACTGAAAAACATACAGTACACAGAGAGAGAGATACGTATGCCACACACAGAAATACACAAATAAAAAGTCCAAATCACAAAGTAAATAGAGACTAGGAAACTATTCCCATGAAAAGTGCCCCAATTCACATACTATATGCCAACCTTCCACAACCTGTTATCCACCAGGAATTTTGGACCACATCTCTTGTGATCTCTCCTGTTGGCCAGGCTATGTGGGGCTGATGGGAATTTTAGTCGAAATCATCTGGAGGCACCATATTTAGGAAGATTTTCTTGCACTCATCTGATGGGATTACCAAGTCAAGATCCTCTATCACTGGATGCACAAGATTCTGATGATAACTGATAAGAGAGTCAGATTGCAGTTCTAAACACACTTACTTGGCTGACGCACGCAGATAGGATTAGACTGTCAACCAAGTTACAATATACGTTGGTCAAGAACTCCCTAATCTGCTGAAGTTAATAAGTGATTTAACAGAAATTCATAGATATAATAGACCCATCCTTTTATGAGAAACATTTTGGTGAAACCATCCTCAGGGGTGCTTAAAAAAAAGGTAACAAACTCCCTGTGACAATTTCCTGCCTTTTACTGGTACTCCCAAATCTACAGGCTGATGCAGGCTGCCTCATCCTACCTGATGATAGATCCAACCCTGATTTTCTCTAACGAAAATTGTCTAGAATTAAAAATTTAATTCAGGGTACTTCTTCTTTCCTCCATTCGTTCTGAAACTTCCCTAATTTTCATTTTAAACTAAATGGCTAAGAAAGCTATTTCATAGGTAAGCTGAGCTCAGTACAGGTGTTAAATAGCCCCATCTCCTAAAACAAAGGAGTGGAATTAAAAGCAGTTTTTCGAAGCAAGGGGTACGAGTTATTGCCCTTCTTAGCACAGTCCCAAAACCCACCAGCTTCCAATATACTGTAATTAGCTAAATATATACAGTAAGCGGCTTTGCATTAGAAGAAAGGATTCATACTTTCACAAGACTGGATATCCTGTTTTTGCCTACCCCCCTATCCACTGCTTTCCCCCATGTCCCTGAAAAACTGCTTAGAAGGTTAGGTGGGACCATCTGGAACAGTGTGAGATGTTGTGCAAAGGTGGGGGGATCAGGAAAAAAATTGATGCTCTGCCTTGCTTGAGCATAAATGCTTTTTGCTAGTGCAAAGCCACCATTCGATACAACCCAATATCTCCTTACAAAATCTGCCCCCAAACATCAGAACCTTGGACTGGCATCAGTGAGAGAAAAATTACGTTTGAGATGAGCAGGGTGCTTGGAGATGAGCAGGGAGGCATCAGGAAATGTCAGCGCAGATGGAGATTAAGCCATCTTCACCTAACGTCGAAACTGCCATCTGTCTCTCTCCAAGAGCGCCCTAATCAGATTTATGTGGCAAAACATATCTACGGGATGTACGATTGCTCAGACAGCCCTGTCCTTCGTGAGCGCTTGCATGGAGATCTGGCGAAGAAGGGGAGGTTTCTTCCTGACAGCTTCCCTCTGTACAGTCGGTGTGGTTTCGATCATCATCATTATCTCTTGAAAGGGGAGCCTTCCTAGGAGTGAGAAGCAGGATAATTTGGGGGGTTTGGGGAGGGGGAGGCAACTCTTGAAGGAATATTACTTGCCAGTTAGCTCAGACTCACAAAACCTGTACCATTAACCTCTCCCCACTGCCCTAACAAAAGAAAGAAAACTTTCAGCTGATATTAAATCAGCTGGCATCTGCTCTAACTGCTTTCCAGTTATTCAATGTATGCCTAAGGCTGTTGCTGGATGTTATATTTGCCTCACACCAAAACATGTTATTTTTATTTTTAAAATTTATATCCCACCACCGTGGCTTTAAAAAGTCCTGAGGGCAGCTTACATAAAAACAAGTGCAATAAAAACTCACATCAATAAAAAATTAATGTACTGAATTAAACAAACAACCAACAACCAACCAACAGCATTTGAAATATATAGCAGCCTAGTCTAGACAGCAGTTCATTTCCATAGCCTTACAAGGGTGAAATAGATCTTCGCTAGTTGTGTAAGGGACATAATCATGTGGGCCAATCATGCTTCTTTGTGGAGGAAGTTCTACAAAATGGGGGCCATCAATGAAAAAGCCCTGCTTCTTCTGCCACTCAGATAGAACCAGCATTTGAGGTATGGCCACTAAGTAAGTCTCCCCAGCCACTCTGGGCGGCTTCCAACAAAGATTAAAATACATTAAAATGTATTTTAATATACATTAAAATGTCACACATTAAGATACATTAAAATGTCACACATTAAAAACTTCCCTAAACAGGGCTGCCTTCAGATGTCTTCTAAATGTTGTTTATCTCTTTGACATCTGATGAGAGGGCTTTCCACAGGGTGGGCGCCACTACCGAGAAGGCCCTCTGCCTGGTTTCCTGTAGCTTTGCTTTTCGCAGTGAGGGAAGCACCAGAAGGAACCCTCAGCGCTGGACCTCAGTGTCTGGGCAGAACGATGGGGGTGGAGACGCTCCTACAGGTATGCTGGGCCGAGGCCGTTTAGGGGTTTAAAGGTCAGCACCAACACTTTGAATTGTGCTTGGAAATGTACTGAGAGCCAATGTAGATCTTTCAGGACCAGTGTTATGTGGTCTCGGCAGCCACCCTCAGTCACCAGTCTAGCTACCGCATTCTGGATTAGTTGTAGTTTCTGGGTCACCTTCAAAGGTAGCCGCACGTAGAGCACATTGTAGTAGTCCAAGTGGGAGATTGGGTCACTGAGTCCAACCCCCTACAATGTGGGAATGGTACAATGTAAATGCATTGGCAGGAGTGCTGCACTGGTGAGCCACTTCCGCATGGGAGGGGAGAGGGTTCAGCACCCTTCTGGCACAACTAATCAGTTCAAGACTTCCCACCCCACACTTTGTATTTCAGGGTGGAAACATGAATAATGACCTAGTCGTGTCTCAAGGCAGTATACTATATTCCCTCTTGGCACTGAAAAGTTGTTATGTGCAAAAAGTGGCAACCATTCACCATTGAGGCCATTTCTTGTAAAAACATTTCTCCAGCACATCTTTTGTTGAAGAATCTGAGAATATATTATGTGAACTGTATTCTGAAATTCCAGTGTCAGTTCCCGCAGTCTGTGCTGCATTGTCCAAAGGCTTTAATTTTTCAGGGACGCACATATTTTCCATTTGACGTTGGAAAAGATTGATAGCCTCAAAGTGCCTTTTCATTGACAAATTAAGTTCCATGCCTGTGCCTATAAATTTTCTTTTCCTATCCTTGAAGTTTGATGTTTGTTTGTTTTCTTCTTCTTTTTTTAAAAAAGTGTGCAGCATCAGAAGTCTCTCTCTATATTGCTTTCAAAGGCTTGTGCTAATCATTTCCTACCTATCAGGAAATAACCGCATTGATCAGGATCAATCACAAAGTCATTTCAAACTAGATCAATATGTCCTCTCTTTTTTTGCTTATTAACTAGTTCATTGGGAATGCATTTCCTTCACTAATCTGAGCTCTCTCAAAGGTGGTAGAAAGTGACAAAAGAATAATTTTATAAAACAACGCAGATGAAAGTTTTGTTTTGCAAATAGCTGCTTCGTACTTCATAATGACAAGGGCAAAAGGTGCTTAGTAAGTGAAATATAATACATGCACATAGACAGGGAATATGAAAGACACCGTAGTGTTTTGAACTCCCTTGAATCCTGATTACCTGCATTGACCTGTATCTGGAGATATTGACAAAGATAAGCAGGGACAGTCAGCAGTCAGTTCGGATTCCATTGTAATAGTTTGAATTAGATGGACCAAATGAGCTGGAATTATTCATTAAATCAGCGAAATCTGCTTGTCACTTGCTTTTTCGCTTGATTAATGCCGACAAGCAGAGGACTTAAAGCCATCCGGTTCTTAGGCATTTTAGAACATGCTGTAAAAGTCTGAGCAGATGCTGGCACCAGGCCTCCCACATTGACAAATCAGCATGACTGCAGTGAGGATGGTTGATGGAAGGTCTTGAAAAGAACTGTTCAGCATGCTTTGGCTTTGCCTTCAGAGCAAAAGACTCGCAGGAACAGAGAAGAATTTGGCAGAAAGACAGAGAGAGGAAACTGGCCCTACATAACATTGACGAATATAATACTTACCTTTTTAGATACGCCACCCATGTTTCCTAAACAGTCTCTTCTTTTTTCATTCTCAGTTGTGAGATCATTTGGTCCATTTTTGCAAATACAGTTGACCACCATTTTTAAACTTCAAAAATACAAAAATCAGTAAGAATACAGATGGGAAATATCATTGGAACTGATGTCACTAGAGACCACAGCAGCCCAAAGGAGTCCATATATATGAAGAATGGCTGCCTGGGAAGTCATTGCCTTCAGGTGGCTGCCAAAGGGAAAGAGACCCTTTGGGATGTTCCCTTAGGGCAGTGATGGCCAAACTTGGTCCTCCAGCTGTTTTGGGACTACAACTCCCATTATCCCTAGCTAACAGGACCAGTGGTCAGGGATGATGGGAACTGTAGTCCCAAAACAGCTAGAGGGCCAAGTTTGGCCATCACTGCCTTAGGGCATCTGAATCCCAGAAACTATTCTGTAAGAGAAGCAGCAGCTGGAACATATTATTTATACTGATGTTATATTGAATGTGTAATTTTAGGGGGTTTTGTTATTATTTTTAATCGTAAGCCATATCATTTTCACAGAAAAGTGAGTATTACATCTAACCTAAGGATGGGGAAAGCAAGGTGGAGAGGGAAGATTGAGTTAAGGCATCAGTGGGAACCTGTGACCTTCCAGATAATGTTGGACTCCAACTCCTATTAGCCCAAGTGAGTATGGCCATTGGTTGGGGTGATGGGAATTGTACTTTCCACAACATCTGGAGGGCCACAGATTCTCCCTCTTTGTGTTAGCAGCTGGGGACACATTGTAACATTTTCTTTTCTCCATTTCTAATACCCCAGAGGTACATGAGATTCTTTGGGTGATTGCTGTTCCCCCAATCACTGGGGTAAAATTGCTTATCCCCCTTTTGAGCTGAGGCCAGTGTGCATTGACTGTTGTTAAATACAGGGAGTTTTAGCCCCTTTCTGGATGTTGACTGCATGTATGGATCTGGCACAAGAGACTCGCTGAGAGAGGGGTCAGCAAGAATCTTGAAATTCCCTAATCAATAGTCTGAACCTCTTTAGGGAGGCATGCCTCACTCTTCGGGAACTGTGGCAATAAAAGGGATACCATGCACACTTGAAAATAAACGGCAGTCAAACATTAAGCTCTCACGTTCATGTTGTCTTTGAGTGTACTGGGCAAATATGATTAATGTCAACCAAATGGCTTTGCTGCAGCTGGTACCAGGCCAAATGGGTTTCTTTTTGTCGACTAGACTAAAAAGTGCCTTTCCTTTTATCAGGGGTGTAAGGCATTTCCCCCACTCTGAACTCATTACATAACTGGCAAGACCAACAGTAGTGATTTATGTCTTGAACTACATTCCTCCCACATGAACGCCTTCTTTCAGAGTAAAGAATCGCTGCCCATTGTCCCTTTGAAAGCAACTTTGCCCTCATTAAAGCAGTACCTTGTCAGAGCGCCACTTCATTTATGTTGGATAGTAGTGCAAAAATAGGAAGCCCCAAAAGATTCAAGCTGACGAGGTATTAAGAATTCACTCCTATACATGGAAGTAACCCCAATGATCTCTTTAGGACTTACTTCCATGTAGAGATATATGGGATTGCACTAGTAATAGGAATATGCATGGCCTCTCTGTTATCATCCATTTGAAGACTAAAATCAATTAATGGTTTTTTAATTCAGTGGATATTTTGTGCAGAATATATATATTACACACACACACACACACACACACACACACACACACACACTGAATCTAGCAACACAACAGCCTCAGATCCTTCAACAGCAGTTGGTGTTTCTGGCCCCTTACAGTTCAAGCTCCTCTGAGAAAATGATGTTGCTCATTGCATCAAACTGTGCAATTTTTAATGGGGGAAAAACTAATCAAAGTTCTTGGCACTTTCTATCAGTCTAGGATGTCTAAGAGATTGGGGATTGGGTTTTTTATTATTTTAATTGAAAATAAATGCTTTAGGTTTTCAAATCCCCATCAGCATCCGAGCAAACTATGCCACCCTCTCCATCCTTTGCAAATCTCTTGGATTTACAAGTTTAGCTTTTCTCTCTGCCTAATCTCTTTTTTCGCTGATGTTATAGATTAAAGGTATCAGAATTCTAGATAGGGAGTTAATCTTTGCCTTCATTTCTCTTTACATCAACACTTATTAATACCTTTGATAATAGAGAACTGACCTGAGCTCTTATGGCCAATTCAGATGTATGCTACACGTGAGATTTGCACATAAGATGATCCATCAAAAGCAGGGAATCAGAAGCGCCATTTCCTAAAGAATAAATAAAGAAATATTTATTTCCAGCATCTTCTAGTGGAATAATTTAAGCTTCTGTAAATATTGCATCTGATGATTTTTCAAACTGGTTCTTGGACATTCCGTAGCTGCAAGTCCTCTTATCCATCTTGTCTACTTATCTACTCAACAAATATTTTCTCTCAAATTATAATGAGAGGAAGTACAAAAGTACATGGATCTGATATATAAAAAGCACTCGAGGTGTGAAAGTACCAAAGGTTTTTGGAAGTGTCCAAATGAAAAAGAGGGCTGGGTTCCTGCACCTTTAATAGATGTCTGGAAGATGGAATTCCCTGGGGTAGATTTGGAGGAATATAGAATCCGAAATTGAAGTGAGGGCCTTAGTCAGATTTTGGGTTTGCCAGAGGTGACATGAGATCTGTAGATGGCAGCAAGAATTAAAGTAGAGATCCCTGAAGTGTTTTGGGGCACCTTAGCAATCCAGTCATCAAACAACAACAAGCTGCAGAAAGCATGTATCAAAAGTGAAACTAAGTACTGTATCTAAGTTTATCATATAAGAAATTATGAAAACTGGGGTGATGTGGAAAAGGAGAGAGAGCGGGGAGTACGGAGGAAAAGCTCAGTTGTGACTGACAGGTCAAATTTTTAATTGGGGGAAATGATATTACCCAGAAAGTGAATTCCTTTTGGTTCTCCCCCCCAAATCAACTTAAAAGGTACCTAGCACAAAACTTATTTTACCTGTTTGTCTGCAGTTCAGCAAGTTCTCGCCTGGGGCGCCTCTTTCTTTCCTGCAGTTTTCAGACCACTTGCTCACAAAACAACAGGATTCCTTTCCCACTCACTTGAAAATAGGGGAGTTCAAGTTTCTGCAAATAAATTCTGAATGTCAGTCCTTGAGGGATTATCGGAAGAATATAATCTTTCATTAAAATGTTTGAAATTGGTTTGCAACATGTTTAGGTGCTGCATATGTCTTACGATTTTCATATTTTCGCATATTTTATACGCATATTTTATCCGTATTATGGTGTTGTTGTTGTTTTCAGCAGGTTAAATCTTCTCTCCTCTGCAATTGCTTTGGTGATTGGCCCCTTCCTGCTATTATGCTCTTTCTAAGCTTATTAACAGCCAGGGTGAGGAGGGAATCTATTTGACTTGTGGGAGGGATGGTTTAAAATATTCCTCTTCCAGCAGTTCCCCTAGTACTGCTCAGGTGACTGGGGAACAGCTAAGAGCGGTGAGAAGGGGACAGGACTGTAGAGAGGATCTGTATTTGGAGCCATTACCTTTGCTATGGCTGTGGGCTGATCAGTGGGAGGGTGTAGCCATAGAAAAGAGGTATGTTGCTTGGAGACTGTGCATACTGACTGTAGGGGATTATGCACAATGGTCAGAGAATGTACAAAATCAAATTGATATATGCACATTTCCCAAGGCCTGTTGGAGATTGTGGATATTAACCAGGAAATGTACACAATTCCCTCTTCATGGAAGGATCGGGTACACATTTTCCATGAGGCCAGGTGAATGTGCACAATGGCTGGTTGTTATGCACATTAACCACTCAACTTACATTCTCTCCCCCCCCCCCAGACGTACACAAACCAACATTCCACTGATTCTCTTCTCTGATTTTGTTTCTGTATCCTAAATTCTTTCTAAAGGGACAAACAGTGGTAGAAGACACAGTTTAGGGGAATATATGCAAATGTTATGCAGCTTCACACATTTGTGTGAGCTGAGTGGGCCTGGGTCTGTATCTTTATTACAATCCTTCAGTGTGCCTTTTGTATTACCCTTTTCATGGGCACAACACAGGTCTTCTTGAGAAAGCCAGAAAAGAGATCAAGCATGAGATAGTAATCAGAAACCCCTGCGTCTCTAAAAAGGAATCTGAATTCAACAATAATTGCGCGCAATAGTCACCACAAAGGAAGCCTTTCCCAAAATAGCCCTTAATGCTAGCTTTAAAAGCTTTGAAGTCAGCCATTTCAGGTTCCTCCAAATGCTTGAAATTTGGCTTTGCATGTTTCAAAGCACTTCTTGCTGTGCCTCCTCTCATCCCGCATTACGTTTACTTTTGTATGCCTCCCGGCCATAAATGATTCAAATTACACAACTCTTCTTTCTGCTCGGATGGCCAGGCCATCTCATTGCTATTTACTTTTCATCAGAGCACCTAACTTGCTCTTCGGCTGGTGATGCTGTTGGAACATTCAAAGCCGGCGGGTAAAGAATGGGAGAGCGGGAGGCTGCCTGTGAAATCTCTCTTGCTGCCTTTGATACATCCAGGGTGCTCTGCAGTTTGACTGGCATGTTCGCATTCAACATTTACCAAATGGGACTGCACAATTCCCTTTCCATAATGCAGCAAGGAAAAATGCCTTTCTGGTGTGTGGTTTTTTTTAACCATCCATGGCTTATAGAATAAATGGGCTGCTTTAATTTTGCCTAACTTGTCCAGAATTTCCCCAGGACTTGGGGTCTCATCCTTTCTCACTAAAGTCCTGCTGCGAGGTACTGTTCTTCCAAGATCAGCTGGCGGCAGAATTAAAACGGCGGTTCCACATGAACGCCTGACTGTAGTAGCTCAGGGCACTGCCAGACTAGGGACGGGTGAATCTGTCAGTTTTTCTCAGTTTTCTTATTTTTCCAAACTTAAGTTCGGCTCTACATGGCACCACAACAGTTCTCAATTTAAAAAGAAAGCCCTTATGATGATTCATCAGTATTTTAGTGTCAAGGCTTGTATGCAATTTTGCCTACTACACTTATCTCTGCATGTGGTTTTCACCAATATATGCAGGGCCGTCTTTAGCCAGGGGTGCAAGGGGTGTGGGGCACCTGGGTGTCGAATTCTGGGGGGCACCAGGCACCCGCCACTGAAGCCACCTAAGCTCTGTTTCGCACGGGATGCGTTGGCGAAGGCAGCAGGCGAGAGGACAGAGGAGCAAGCAAGCGAGTGAGCAGACGACGAGGCGGCCTTTGGCACGCCCGAGGTAGCGGTGCAGGGAAGCGTGCACAGGTGCAACAGGGTTGCTGCTGCCACCACCACTGATCACCGCCCCGCTCCCCGCCAAGCAGCCATTGCCTGGCGCATTGTGTGGTGCTTGCTTGGTGCCGGAATGGTGGTCATAGCCATAGCAACAACTTGACGTGGCTGCGGAGAGAGTGCAAGGCCTGGCTGGCTGGCTGCATGTGTGGGAGATGGTGGGCGATGGAAACGAGGAGGAAGCAGCAACAGCAGCTTTGGGTTTCTCAAGACATCCTCCTCTTAGCGCCGCCACAGAGCATGCCATATACTTAAGTATAAGTGTATTGTAAATAAATGAGCAAATAAAAAAGTTTGTTCCTTTTCCCTTCCTTCTTTCGTAAATGAGAGATAAGGCGTAAGCGTGGTGTCTGACATAAGCATAATAAAAGTTAATTTGGGGGTTAAACTAAATTTGGGGGTGCTGGACGGATCTTTGCACCCCGGTGGCCATATGCTAAAGACGGCCTGAATATATGTATTTTTTATGCACACTTGACTCTGGCATATGCATTTTTGTACATGTTACTTGGCTGAAGAACGGCATTACAAAATTAAGAGAAGTGTGAATTTTGAAAGATGCCTGAATGTTCAGTTCATGTGTTGTTTCAGAAAATGTGAATTAGGTAGACTCACATTTAACTGTGAGCTGAATCAGATTTCTCCCCTATTCCTAGTCTGGGGTAGGGAGAGACAGCAATCCCTTCTCCCCCACCACATTTTCAACAAACATGTGGAAAGAAATAAGCGTTTTCCAAGTCCCTGGAGGACCTGAGTGAAATGTGCTGTCTAAATTAGTTGCTATTCATTAGACTTTATCAGAGAACAAAAGAACAAATCCAAGCATATTGTAATTAGTACAATTGTGTTATTATGAGAAATTCCTACCAGTTATTCACACAATTATATGAATTAGTGAAAATTAATTACAGGTTTCAAACACGTATACATACATTCAGTGTATAATTATATGTGACAATGTTCACTACATTGTCAAGTTTAGCCCATATTTTCTAACACTTGGTGTTGAAAAGGAGTGACTTTCATATCAAATGCAAGTCCCAGAAGAGAAAAGTTGAGCCTCAGAAAAAGAGCAATACTCATAATTAGTGCTATTTTTCTAGAAAAAGAGGTGCCGGAACTCACCACAAGCAGCTCCCTTGTTCTCTTGTAATGGCGATGGCGCCCACCTCTCAGTGCTGGAACTGAGTTCTGGTGAGTTCCGGCTGGGGAAAAAAGCCCCTGTTTATAATCCTTCTTGTCAACGCTAGTTGATTCTCTTTAGTCTTTCCATCCCATATGTAGACAAGAAGCGTGTAGGGGAAACTGTATAAAAACTTGTCCAGTTCCATGGGGCTCCCTTGCGCACTATGTTATGTCAACCTTCACCTGTTACAAAAATGGATCCTTTCCCATAAATGACTCATCATACATGCAAGCAGGGAGAGAGTGGATGGGCACAGTAAGCTCTCCCACCTCCCCATCACCTGCCAGGTCTGAAGTTGGCAGGCTCCTCATGGAGGCTCACGGCACAATTTAGAGCCTCTCATAAAAAGGTTTATCCACAAGTAGATAGGGTTTAAATAAATAGGCTTATGTATCAACTCTCACAGTACCTTCCAACATTTTCATCCCCAAAATCGGGCGCACCTTCCATTCCAGCACTCTGGCGCACGACAGCAGGGTCGTGCCAGAGCACTGGACCTTGGGCACTTTGGCATAATGCTGTTGATGAGTGCCAGAGTGCCTTCTGTTCCAGAGCATTGGACCAACAAATGGGACATCCCAGGATGCAAACAAAAGTCAGGATTGGCTTCTGTGATTTGAGATGTCCTGTTTAAAATGGGACAGTTGGCGGAGTGAGGTTCACGGCATGTAATGCCTTGAAAGAAAACATTATGATATACAGGTGGTACATGACCCCATTCAAGCTGGCAAAAATATATCACTTGCCTGATAACAAATGTTGGAAATGTAAGGAAACTGAAGGAACATTCTTTCACCTTTGGTGGACGTGCCCAAGGATTAAGGCTTTCTGGGAAATGATTTATAATGAGTTAAAAAAGGTATTTAAATATACCTTCCTTAAAAAACCAGAGGCCTTTCTTCTGGGCATTGCCGGCCAAGGAGTGCTAAAGAAAGATAAAACCTTTTTTATGTACGCAACAACAGCAGCAAGAATACTCATCGCAAAGTATTGGAAGACCCAAGATTTACCCACACTGGAAGAATGGCAGACGCAACTGATAGACTATATGGAGTTGGCTGAAATGACTGGCAGAATTCGAGACCTGGGAGAAGAGACGGTGGAAGAGGACTGGAAAAAGTTTAAGGACTATTTACAAAAACACTATAAACTGTATGAATGTTAGGAGAATGCACAACTGAAAGAAACATGGCAGCAGTAAATTTATTGTAAGACATATGAGAATAAGTGATGTTTAATGAAATGATGAAGTTTGAAGTAATATTATGTTCAAATCAAATACTTTAATTTATGGAAAAATCATTTAAAAGTTGGAACAGAATATTTGAGATTTATAAAATAAGAATGGAAGTAAGGTAACAAATTGCTGCATATAACTATATGATTGAGAACGCAGGGAAGGGTGATGTGAGGAAGTCCAAAGACTATGAAAATATGATTCATGAAATAATTTTACTTTATTTGTATTTTCTTTCTTTATCTTTTCTTTACCTTATAATTTTACTTTGATCTTTTTTGTTTGTTATATGATGATGGTACTTTATATGTTTGGTGGTTTGTTTGTTGTTTAAAAACTGAAATAAATATCTTTTTTAAAAAAATATATGGG